CAGCAGTTACTATCTGGAAAATGCACTTTTAATGTTGCACTTTATCCTATATAAACTATAACCTGGGACAGTATCTGGGGTCCCAGGTAGTTTCAAAGGAAGCTTATGACTGTGTTTATTCTTACAGTATGTGTTCTTACAAGAATATAGTGTATATTATTATCTTAAAATAACTCTAGACTGGGTAAGGGGTGTCTAGTTGCTACAGAATTTCACTTTTAGCGATTGACTGCAGCTTGGCTTCAAAGCCCTATATCAATCAAGTCCTGGGACCTCACTTGTTGCTCTTTATGTGGACTCATTCTTATGTGAGAACATTTTAGTATGACAATGCAGATCCTCATGCTGCAATAATGTGTAATAAAAATGGGTTTTGCTGTGGATGCACTGCTTGCCAGACTTAAATTGTGAAAATAGGTGTCTCTGTGTTCAGCAATCTAAAAAGGGATATTTTTCCTGGTACTCTACCTACAGTACATGATGGCTGCAATATGGGTCTCTCAGGGTAGCTCAAAAGATCTGGTATGTTGGTCTGTCTTCAGCGAAATAAAAATGCTGGTATTGTTTCAGTACTCTCCACATTCACTTTATATAGCACTATTGCAACCTGATCTGTCTTAATATCCTATATCTTTTATATAGAGGATCCTTTTGTTGGTATTCATCGAGGCTGTAATTTTTCAAATGTGTTTGATGATTAAAAATGAACAAAAACTGTTCTCACTAAAAGTGCCATTCATTGCATAAAATCAATGAGTATCCTTGACAGAATAATTACTATATACAGTACAGTATATTTCGTGCAGAATGAAAATCATTTATATCTTTAAAACCCATTCAGTTACTTTTTACTTTTTTAAATGTGTTTTTCAAGCAAACCAATTTATTAACTCAATATAATGATTTGAATGCAATAAAATAATTATTTAAGAAATTCTCAAATATAACCACACTATGTATACAGTATAAATAATATGTTCTAATATGTAATCTCTGGTTTAATATCTTTAAGAAGCCCATATTTAAAACATGCTACTGAAGCAACAAGTACTATAGTTTTATTTTATTTCATCTGTTTGAGCCAATGGATAAAAATGCCTACACCATTAACATTTCAATGGAGTGGGTATTAAATACAGCTGATGTTCCATTTTAGAGAGGATTATAAAGGAATTATTTTTATCTGGAAACATTTTTATATTATAAATACACTTGTTATTTAGAACTGATAAGAATTTCAATGTTATGGATTTTTCTGATTAAACAAGATGGAAAGCTTTTACTATAAGTAAAACAACTAAATTAAATTATAAAACAATGAGGCACAACAGTTAAATGTTAACACATTAACAAAAAACAGATAAGAGAAAAGAAAAGAAAAGAAAATCAACCTTCTTGTTGAAAGTTCAAATTGTTGCACTTTTCAGGTCACACATTTTCTGTGTAATCTACACTGTAGGTGGTAGCATCTTAAAATCTTAGCACTTTACGGTCTGCCAAAAAATACTAATAATTCCACTACAAATGTAATTGAAAGCAGTTTTCTATCTGAATCTTAGTGAAGGTTCATTGTTTTCCAATGGAGCATCCTGTGCAGATTTAGTCATAGCATTTTTTCCCCCTCTGGAAACACTTGACTAAGGTGTAATTACAGTACATTTGCCCAACATGATTGAAAATACTTTGAAGTAAAGTGCCAAAGCTGTGTTATTATCTCTGTCATTCTACAGAAAAAGAAGCTGCTAAGAGCAGAGAACTTATAAATAAATAAAAAAATGCAATGTTAGCTTGTGTGTTGCACAGAGTATTATCTCAGTTGCATGCAGCTTTTTGATTTGAATGATTCTTATTTTCATTCTGACTTATAGAGACTGAGACAACAAACTAGAAAAAGGACACTTTTTGTAAAATATTAGCATTAATAATAACAATAATTTACAATTTAGTTGCTTGAAACTGTAAGGATTGGGTTTAAGTGATCACCATTGTTTCTTTGTTTCAAAGAGCCTAGTGTTACAAGATAAAGATATGCGTACAAATGCACATATTAGGACATAATACTATACATGAATCTAAGATAATTGCCTCAAGGTATTTTGAAAATCAGAAAGTTACATGAAACCTATTGCACCATACCTTTTTTTAACAAGCTAAAAAGTCTCTAAACAAGATACAGTACAAGCAGCACAAAGAAATACAATGCCTTGCTAAGGAAATCAGTTCTTGATCCACAAGAACACAAAAAGAGTGATTATTTGCTTTAAAGCAAAGATGGTATTTAATTAAACAATTCGAACTGAATTGTTATGTCTATTTCAAATTCTGGAGGTGTTTTATCCAAGGTTTCTCCTCTTCTAACTTCAAAATACTGTATGGTTTCCTTCTGTGTTTGCCTTGTGTCATGGATTGAGTTAAGGAACATTTTAATTTTTTAATGCAATATGAGAGAAACTGGTTATATGTGTCATTGTTCATCAATGTAATGTTAACAAATAAACATTTTAAATACAAAGCAACTTAACGGTTATAATATCAGGCTCAAAATGTATTATTATGAAAAAGAAGAGGCTCTCCTTCCCATTGATTATAATAAAAAGCAGCTGCATAATAAATGTAACATCTATCCAGTGAATGAAAGAGTGGGGACAATGAGCATGATATAATTCATTCCCTTGATTACATATTTGGCACCAAAACAAAATAAACAAGAGTGTTTTTGGCATGAGTGTTCATCTGCCTGTATCACAGAGAAAACATGCTGAGTACAAAAGACAAGTGTGTGATGTTCCATGATGGGAACAATGCATGAAAAAATCATTTTGAGTTCTTTCAGTCATGAAGACTAGGTTTAGTGAATAATACACAAGGCATCATTATTTCATTCAATACTCTCTATGGAACTAAAAGTTATAATAGAGGACATTACAATGAGGTCAGAGAAGCGTGAGATGTAGAAACATTAGTCATTTCTCATGTTGCTTCCTACTGAGAAAGAACTGGAATCTTATTGTTGAAGTGAAACCAGGGGCAATTATTGAATCTATTTGATCTATGACAGCATGTGTTGTCTGCTATTTATACAATGATGTTTGATGATATAATTAAGAGTATTTGTTTTTTTAAACCAGGTTTCTCTTACCATTTTCACATGAAAGATAACTTGTCATTGACATATTTTGTCACCGTACTCTACATGTACACTAAATTATTTTAAATGTGTTAAATTCAAAAAGCACTATAGTCAATTCATGTTTTACATTTTTAAAATACATTTTAAAAACTCTATAAGATTGCTTCTTTTGAACTATTTCATTATTTTTCTTTATGCCCTCCATGAATTTTTAAAAGGAATATACTGTACTGTAGGGGCTCAAAAGCAATGGAAACTAGAATTAATGGATGTAGGCCAGACGATAAATTTCAGTTTTCTTTGTCTCAAGGTTTGATTTTGTAAAACAACCAGCTTACCCTCAATATTTTACCTCAAAAAAAGTATTATCGCTGTTTTTGTATCTGTGTATCTGTGTTTTACAATTCATTATTTGGAGAGGTACAGTACAGTATATGCAGTAAGTACACATACTGTAGTTGTAAAGTGTACCATATGTGGCATTCAGATGCAGCCATTCAAAATGCATGATACAACCCTGTACCGTGCAAAATTATTCATAGTTCACTGCGTTGTACTGCAGTACGTGATTTGGCTGGCTAAAATGACAGGGACACTTGTGGTGCATTTGTTGAAATGATTTAATCATTTAATCTCTTCACTGTGCATGTTTTAATCTCTTTAGAATTGAATATATATGTGGAATTTTACAACTAAAGGGAAATTTTAGTAGTTGAGCATAAAAAGAAGAGGAGCAAAATGCATCTGAAGGTCATAAACAATATTAATTTAGGAACATAAGCATATTATGTAAACTGTATATGGCTGGTATTGATAGTTTAAATAAAAAAATACACACCGGCATTCCACATTCTTCCTAAACATTTTAAGCATCAAAGTCTTTCAATCAGCTACATACTGTGGTTATTTTGGAAAAGTTTTTACGTGCTTCTTTTGACTATATTAAGTTTATACGGTATACTTCGTAAAAAGTTCTAATGTTTAACCATTTTTGCAAATACTTCCACTTGTTATCTCAATAAAAAAACAAATACTTTTTAGAATTTGATTAATACGGAATATATATGGAATCATGTATCTAAAGAATTTAATAACAATATAATTATATCCACATCTTTTTACTTTGTTGTATTGTCTTGCAAAAAATAATCTGAAATTCAAATTATGTAAAAATGTTAAAAAATGAGAGACTATCCAGCCTATTTAGCCTGTTAGCTGTTTGGTCCAAGGATTTTATGTTTTTTTTTTTTCTTAAAGGAAGCCAATGTATAGGATTTAAGAAGATGTGGAATATTCAATAAAGACCTATTAATTAACATGACAGAGTTTGAGTTTAAAAGGTAGTCTACTGTTAAATAATTTTTACAATAGTTTTCATTTTTTAGTTTATTTCACAAGTTATTTACCTTTAATATTTAAAATAGTTACCTTTAATATATAAAAACACATTTTTAAACTGGAGAACACTTCTATTAAAATACATTAAACACAAATTGCTATCATTAATATACTGTATATACAGTAGAAAAATAATGAGAACAATAGGTTTTCACTAAAAACACAAAACAGGAAGGAGAACATTATAAGGATTTCTTATTACTATTAGTTTGCTGTTCATTAACTTTATAATGTTTATTTTGTTTGCTTTTTACTGTTTCTATGTTTAAATGCTATTTGTTTTCATCAGTATGTATAATTGATACTGTCAATCATGTACTATAAATAATTATTACAATTTGCTCTCAAATTACTGAGACTTATCACAGTATCAAATTTCTGACTTATGTGGTTAAATACAGATAATGATTATGCTAAGGATGGATGAAATTGAATGGTTTCTTAAAATTGATTGTTATGTTTTATGTTATAGGGGTCCCAGCTGTGTTTGTTACTGTGTGGGCTAGTGGAAGAGCTACTCTAGCAGACACAGAGTAAGTATTGTAACTATATGAAATACAACCTGATAGATTAATCAAAGTATAGCCTGAAGTGTTAATTTGCAGGAAATAAGAAATTTTGTCAGATGCATTTTGTCAGAGTTAAGTGTTAATAATATTGTTATCATTAATATTCCAGTTGGGTCATAACTATTACAAGGTGTTTTCTCTGAAATGAAGAAAATATGTGTGAAAAGCTTTCATGTTTCAGGTTTTGCATGCAAGACATGTATTTCTCTTTCTATTCAATATAGTTAATTAGGTAGCTTGATAATTAGGTAATTAGAAAGATTAGTGTTTTAGTTCTTTCTTCTTTCTTTTGATTGACGTGTACAAGAAATAATCAATTTAAACCGAAGATGGCCTTTTCTAAGACTCTCTGTAATTCTTTCCGAGACTCCAGTCATTGTGGTCTTCATGGGTTACCTACTGTACCTGATTTTAAAATGTCTGTTTCCAGAGAAACTTAATTAGGGTAAAGAACATTCCATAAGCATGTTACCTATGTCACTCCACTATGCAGGAAATGTTACCATCACTATTAGCTGAATGGTTGCCTTTCATTTCTTGATCACATGTTTATTGACTTGCTTGTCTTATACGTTGATTAATGATTTTCTGCAATACACTGGAGATTGTCAAAGATCTTTTCAAGTATATCTGTAATGGCGAGGCTAAATGTACTGTGCTATCACATAAATAAGTAAGCATTATGGCATTTGTACAAAGATTTCCACAGCTCAGTAGTATTATTTTTATTTTTGGTCTCTGCTCTAAGTGACAAACATGCTGAAAGGCTGAATTTGGATCTTTCAGTGATTAGTAAACGGACATCTATGTCAACAGAACATACAGTATGTAATTAGCAGAGAATACAAATGATCTTTATACTGTATATATCTTCAGTTGTATTTTAAATTTAAATTAAAATAAAATTTCTCCATTTTTGATGTGAGAAATAAAAGTCTATTACTGTACATTGATGATACAGTACATAGAGTATAGGATATCAAAGCAATACAAAGACATACTGTATATCAAATTGTTGCAAGGTTTTATACACATTTACTCGACCTTTCAATCCAAAATTGAACTTAAAATGGAAATTTTACTTCCAAATTACATGTCGTTTCTCATTATTTTATCTGAAAGCATGAATGAAAACACAGTGTTGTTCAGATGATAATTTATACATCTTCCTGTAGGTGCTGGGATCTTAGTGCTGGCAACCTTAAATGGATAGCACAAGTGCCAATATTGGCAGCAATAGTGGTAAGTAAAAAATTTTATTTAAATCAACTGTTTTATAAAAGACACACTGTACATGTGAGCTATTTATTATGAACACAAATTACTACAATGTCAAATAATCTGTCAGGTGATTTTTATGATTGTATGACAGCAGGCTATCCATTTAATTTTTTGGTTTTCATGCAGAGCAGCGAGTTGGTACTGTATAGCAGTTAGTGCTGCTGCCTTAGAGCTGTCAGGCCCAGGGTTTGTTTCTGCTCTCTGGCTCCTACTGTGGAATTTGCATGTAGTCTGTGTTCAGATGGGTTTTCTCTCAGTGTTCCTGTTTACTCCCGCCTTGGAAGACATTCTGGCTAAGTTCTATTGGCCTTTATAAATTGTCCCTTTTTTTCTGGTCTTGCAATGGATTGGCGTCCTATCCAGGTAGAGATGGTCATTTTCTTTCAGACCTGCCTTTTGACATATGCTTCCGGGATAGGCTCCAGATTCCCTTTAGTCTCACACGGATAAGCAGCATTCTGGTAAAGGAAGGATGGATGGACCTTATGCATAAAATGTTCAACAGCAGCATACATGAAAAATTGTACAGACCTTTGTGGCAAAGTAAATATTGAATTAACAAACTTGGCAGGAAAGGTGGCAAAATGTTTGAATAAGAAAAAAAAAATCCCTGGGTTATTGCTTCAGCTCAAGCTTGTTTACATTGCTAATTTTCCGCCAGCAGCCTGAAGACAGGGCCATTCTAGAAATGAACAGATATTGTAAAGAAGCATAAATTGCATGCCTTAATTGATGTTTGATGTTTGCTTATGAGTACCACCTGAATATTCATACAAAAAAAACAGCAGTGGTGGCACATTGGCAAAGTGGCTACCATTTCTGCCTCGCAGGGCTGGAGCCTTGTGTTGAATTCCGAGGTGCTATCTACATGGAGTATGTATTTTCTCCAATGGGTTTTCCCCCAGCTGCTCCGGTTTCCCTCCACAATCCAATGATATACTGGTAGGGTAATTGGCTTCTGGGGAAACTGGCCCTGGTGTGAGTGTGATCTTGTCCGTGTTTGTGTTTGTACAGTATGTGCGCTATGATGGGGAGAATTCCACCTTGTGCCCATTTATTTTGGTCTCTGCTATAAGCGACAAACACATGTTGATAGACTAAATTTGGCCCAAAACAAACCAAGATGTGATGCTTATACAACTGAAGTTTGAATGACAGAAACAATAGTAGTGCGAGAAAAAAAATGACTGAGTGGATTTCTAAACATTTCGCTATGTCTATCTTATAAACTTTAAACATGAATTTCTACAAGGTCTTAGTTTTTATTAAGATATCATAAAGGTTCAGTAATATTATTTTGTTCTTATTTACAGGTAAATTTTTTGTTGTTTTTAAATATAATCAGAGTTTTAGCAACAAAATTAAGAGAAACAAATGCTGGAAGATGTGATACTAGACAACAATACAGGTAAGAAATACCTAATATACATTAGGAGCTGTTTTTATTAACCTAGTTGTAATACAGACTTATGTATAGTTCCATGGTTGATATACATATAAACTTATGAAATGGCAATATTTACATGGATGTTATTGTATTACACTAGTTAATAGGACAGTTTTATTATATCAATGTATTATGTAAATAGTTTCAAATTTCATGGTGAGACATTTCTCGCTGGACGATCAGAAGCTTTTAAAAAAATGTTACCCATGTAAGATGTTACAAAAACAATTTCTGTGAGTTATTAATTAAGTATGAGTAGATTGCCATTACAAATAAAGTTAATGTTCAGTTATAACAAATGTTATAAATACATGTACAATTGTAATATTCAATTCATTGACTTTTTGACTACCTCAGCATGGAATAATAAAATATCTTAGCTTTAATCATTACATTTCAAAATTGTGGATATGAAGCAAATCAGCAAAGCTGTAATTACAATTAAATTTCCCTTTGGTGAGAAAGAAAGAGCTCTACTTTCTTCCCAGCCAAAAGTAGGAGCTACAACAAAATCTCAAGAGGTGATTTTAGTCAAAGAGATGTCTGCAGCACATGAATCTTCTCTGCTCTCTTGGGGTGCTGTCCATTTGGGGTGTGGTCTCAGTAAGATGTTGTTGGAATGCAAAGTACTGTACCCCTGTTATGTTCAGTTGGGTTGCAGAACCATCCACCATGGGATTTTCTTCATCTGCCAAATACTAAGCTTTATAAATATAGATTTTAAATTCAGCAATGAATTTTATCCAACAACCTAACAGAAATGACAGAAATGTCCTTTTCCTTTGACAGAAAGCTGCTGAAGTCTACTCTGGTCCTCATGCCTCTGTTTGGTGTTCATTACATTGTCTTCATGGCCATGCCATATACTGAAGTTTCAGGAATTCCATGGCAGATACAGATGCACTATGAAATGCTTTTTAATTCATTCCAGGTATAGTAAATAATGTTAGAGACTCATACTTTGGAAAACAAATATTCTGTTAAGTAAGCCAATGAACTCTTCGAAGGTGTTATTTGATCTAATTTTGAGTAATTCTTTTCTAGGGGTTCTTTGTGGCAATTATCTATTGCTTCTGCAATGGTGAAGTGAGTATTTATTTTGTTGTTTGCTGCTAGTAAATATAGTAGTACTAGTATAATATTGTTCTAAAATGTTATTATAAACAGTAGATTTTAAAACATATCATATAAAAAATAACACATCTGCTTTCTTACAAATATGATGTTTCATTGATATTGTTTTATTTATTTCTGTAGAAAGTATTTTCTGTATTCTTATTCAAAATGTTTTCCTGTGATTTTTTTTATTAGGTTCAGGCTGAGATAAAAAAGGCTTGGAGCAGAAGGACACTTGCCCTTGATTTTAAAAGAAAAGCTCGGAGTGGTAGTAACACATACAGCTATGGGCCCATGGTTTCACACACCAGTATCACAAATGTGACAGCAAGAGGCTCTTTGGCACTACACCTCACTACCCGTTTGGGACCTGCTTCAATCAATGGGCATCGCAACCTGCCAGGTTATGTAAAAAATGGCTCTGTTTCAGAAAACTCAATTCCATCCTCAGGACAGGAAGTGCCCATCAAAGAAGAGGAGCAGGCAAATGGGTCCGGACTCGATGAAGGAGAAAAGCCCACAATAGTTGTGGAGGAGGAAAGAGAAACAGTGATGTGACACTCAGCATTACTTCAAAACTTACTGCTGGTTTTTCCACCAGGAGAAAGAACTGGATTGTTTAAAATCCTGTCTGGAGTTGTCTGCCTGTGTGATAGACTTGGTATTCAGAGTTAATGAGTTTGCAGCTAAATTCCTACTTCAGTCTCCTTTTAAAAATCTTCAGGCATCTTCAGTGAAGCTTCAGAAGTTTTTCATTCTGCTGTGGAACTTTCGTCTCCAGGGCTGCTTCAATCAGTGAAAGAGAGCCTGTAAATGTATAACAAAGATTTTGAGCCAGATAATTTCAGCGAGATTTCAGTGAATGTGGCTGTATAGCAGCCAGTATCACATAGCCACTTATCTTTATCATTTGCTTTGTTAGATTGAAAAGCCTTGTTTTGTGATAGTGGCTCTTTTGCAGTGTTTTTGCAACGCATAGCATTCAGCAGATGTATATTTAGTAATTACATATTGTGGAACAACCAGGAGTGGCTGAGAGTAGATAAAGGAATTTTCTTTTATTCTATTATCATGCATTTGTGGATTACTTTTAATTGTTGATGTGTCTTTGAACTTAAAATCTATAATGACACCAAAGTGGTTCTGTGCTGAATTGACGTTATACAGATACTTCAAGCTGCAATTATTGTTGCTCTCTTGTTGAGCTGGGTTGGATAAACTGTGAATGGATTCTGTTTTGCAGAGGGTATTGAAAGAATAAGATAACTTCTAATCAGATCTTTGGAAAACTGAAAGGTTAGACTTATTGGATCTGCATTGGGTTGAACTGTGACACTAGTGCAATATCTCAATGATAAGTCATGATTAACAAGAAGAAAATTAAACGACCATTATGGCCCAATACAATATAAATATAAGATGTTCATGAGACTTTAATTTTGTAAATATACGTTTATTTCAATGTCTATTCTGAAACTTGCTTATACTGTATTTATAGCCTAATGGGTTCAGTCATTGTTTATGATTTGTGCTTTAAGTATTCTAAAATACGATTCATTTGTTCACCTTGAATCCAGCCAGAAGGTTCCTTAGGTCTCAGATCTCAACAGAATGAAATATCTAGTTGTGCTTATACATCCACATTTCATGTGATCTCTCTACAAAGAGGTATGACTGAAGGCGTATCTAATCCTCTTTGTAAGTATCCATTACAAGAAGATTGTCTTAAATCTGTATTCCATGGTTCATAAATTCCAGAGAGAACTGATTTCTGTAGCCTCCAACAGCATGCAATTGAATTGTTCTGTACTTGAAACACATTCACATGAAGCTGGCTGCTGATATATTGCTTGTGGCTGGATAGCAGGTAATGCTTAACGGCAACATTAAATGAGCATCACAACCCAAAAGAAATCAATTGCAACTTTTTTCAGTTTAAACTGTAGGAAAAAAGTAGGACATTTCTCAGTATTAAACCTTTGCATCACATAATCTCTCTGTTCCTACAATGGCAATTAAAATGTGAACTAAAAATTCATGTTGACACAATATATTCCTAGTGGTTTACAGTATGTGATAATGAGAGTATTGGTAAAATCTCATATTAGCAGATTTACTGTTAATCTTAATTGATTTCAAGAATTTTAATTTGCTGTAATTTGCTGTAATGCTGGATTTACACTAGCGAAGATAGGAAGGCCCATGGAAAGCATTATCAACGACAATGAAACTAATAATATGCTGTAGTTATTTGTAATACAATTTTGCCATTACAATTGTTTCATACTGTATGTTGCATAGCTGTAAGCCAGTCAAGCATCCCATAAAACTCAGATTTATTAAAAAACTGGAGCTTTTGCTCTTGCTTCAAGAGAAAATTTAAACTCTGTCAATTAATGAATACAACAATTGACACAATTATATTTTAAAAACATCCCATGATTTGTTGTGGCAATAGAACCAAAATAATCTGTGAAAATGGGGAAAGCCACAAAGCTTTTATGCTGCTTTTCTTGTATATATGTTCAATCATTTGCTATTGAATGGAAGTCACAATGTTTACATGAAATCCATCCAAATTTTAAGCAAAGAGATGATCAAATGTTTTTTGGGCCTATTTTCAAAGTATGTCCCATTAAAGAATTCTGAAACTACAATAGGACTGTTTAGACTGTTTTTTTTTACTTAAAGTAAATACTAAGTACAGTACCACTTCCTGTAAGTCTATGCCATCAGGTCTTTGTGAAGATTCTACATAAAGTAAAAAAGGTATTTTAATTAAAGCACAAAAAATTACATAAGAAACAAATCCCTGGATACACTTTATTTGATAAGACAAAATGTGACTGGGAGTACTTTGCCTTGTTTTCGCATCCTTCAATTATTGAGCCTTGAACCATGTCATTTCCATGATCCCCAAGTTTGAAGTGCATTATGAGTAGAATGCGTACTAAGAGAGAACTATTTTCTGCTCTTCAGGGAGGAGTATTCTGAAAGCGACATAAAAAATGGTTCATCTAAACATTAAATTATTTTAAAAAAAGTTTTTTCCTTCTGTTTTGTTTTGCAGAAAACAAATTATGTCTGTTTTGTTCAACAGCATATTACTCTATAAGAAGTATTTTAACATACTGTACTGTATGTATGTGAAACAGCCATGGATTGTGGTAGCAGCCTTAGGGTAGAGATCAGCGTGACTATGGCCCATTTCCAGAAGGGAAAGTTTTCAACTTACTTTCCCACCAAGTGAAAACAAGGCATTCTGGAACATCTCTATTGCAACTATTTCAACCCTTCACCTTTTCTGATGAAACACGTTATTTCAGTTCTCTTACATTGGGGCATCCTGTACACATCTATAAATAGTTTTTTTAATAATGCTTAATAGTTCACTTCTTTGGATTTTTCCAGTGATTTAGAAATGTAAATATCTCTATCTTTCATTTGTTCATTCATTGTTTTTTTTACATGAGAAAAAACAGAACATCATCTTGTTTGTACCTTTTTATATAGCACATAAATAATCATCTCGTGCTGACATTCAGTTGTTTTGAAGGTTATACTGTACATTTTGGTGTTGTGTAATTTATTTATTTATTTTATACTGATTCTCAAGGAAATAATAAGGCAATAGAAATGTATATTTTGCACCATTACAAACTGAACAATTATCACAAATATCACATCATATATTTAAAATCAAATCAAAAGTAAAATGAATGCAAGTTAAAATGCATACTATATTAAATTGTATCTGGGTGATTAATGAGGTTTTGATGAGAATGTTTATGAAAGGAACACTGCATTTTGGTTATCTCAAAACAGAAAGGAATTGACCTAAAAAATATCACATATTTGAACTGTTAAACCATAAGGACAAGATTGTGGGACCTCTTCCAATTGCACAGTTATTAAGTGGAACTGTCAAATTAAATAATCTCCTATTGAAAGCAGCAAATCCATCTATCTAATTATGCTGTGGGCTGTGATGTTTTATGTAATCACATTCCAAGAGTCGACATCACTATATTTCAAGCATTAAGCACAGATTTTAAATGGAACTGTAACTGTGCATTAAAGGTATATAAATCACTGACTAAGAGGGAATATTGTGTGAAGAGAAATGACCAGCACTCAATACATAAAATAGATATATCTAAGAATATGCAATAAACTGATGAACAGGATGCAAATACATTCTCCAAAAAATGATTTTAAAGATATCTGATATTCAACAGAGTTAGTATTTCTGCCCACCAAATCAATGTGTAAATTTATAAGTAGACTTATAATTGTAAACTTTCTGTAATGATTTCGACTGAGAATTTAGAACAAGTTGTAGTAGTTGTCTCATGAACATTTCAATTAAAAAATAATTAGTTAGGTACCTTTATATGATTATCTCTTTCATTATGACATATACTCAATGATATATTGAGTACTGTATATTATATTTTTTTAAGAACAGGCCATGTCTTCTCATTGCTGGGAACTGTCAGAGTCTGCCATATACTTTGTGAGCACAACAACTTCAGTGTCTTAAGCCTGTTTTGTTGTCAGATTTATAAATATGCATTTTAGCCCTGCACAGTACCTCTTTCATGTAATCATTTTCTCAGCCAAAGGGGTGAAGTTTTGAATAATATTTTAAAACCTCTCATTTAGACTCTTCACTGTTACTCTGTCTTTTTGTAACTTGTGAATAAACACCGAGCATTTAATGTTAGGTTTTGAGTACACTTACTGTATAAAAAGTCTGTACTTAGGCATAGTCCCTCATTAGGCCAGAGTTTATCTTGATTTGTGAGATGTTAAGCAGACTGAAAGGACAATGCTCTCCACTTGGGTTGGAGAATAGTCTGTCACAGGGTAATCCCAGCAGTGATTGTTTCAATTTTTGCAGTTTGGTGATCTGGAGGAATCAGGAAAAAAGAAACTATGTAAATATTTGTAATATTCATTTTTTCCATGGCTGTGCATGTAATTCCTTTTCAGTATATACAATGTGCTGTGCACTTGTAGATTTATGTAATTGTATCTCTCTCATATAGGTGCTTTTCAATTGTATATACAGTAGATCTTTCATGCAAATTGGACTTATCTGTATTATTAAATAGAGAAGGATTCACTAGCTATACCCTACAATTGAAGATGATTGTTTTCATGTACCCAAAAGTGACAGATTAGACTAATGGGATCTGTACACACTTGTGTAGGTTGAGCAGATGTTGTGTAATATATCTGTTTTTGTACTATTTGATTTTGTCATGGTGACCTCTCAATGCTCTCAGTTTGCTGTCTCTACTGATACCTTTAGTGGGTACTGAACAACCATCTAGATATTCTTACTCTGTCTGATTCATTCAATGGTCATAATCTCTCAGGATTTGATATTAATTCTTCAAGTTCCCTTTTGGTTTTTCTTTTAAATTTTTCTTCTGTGTCCTCTGGTGCAAATGCCTCCACAATGAGAAGAGGACCTCCTTTGGGAGCCTGGAGTCTTACGTCTGGACAGCATGACCAAGCCAAAGGAACAGACAGTAAATGTTCATTGCATGTACTGTAGATCATAGGGTTTTGTGGTACCTGCCAGGGAGAGAACTCTTATGTTCAGATGTCTGTCCTTCCACCTGATGTATAAATATTATGCAAACAGCACTAGTGATACAGCTCTAGTCCCAGTAAATGTCCATGTTTGAACCGCATTACAGTACGGTAGGAATCATTACTTCACAGTATACCAAAAGTGTGGTTTCAGTTTTAATGTTGCAAACCTTAAACATTCAATTCCTTGATAGTCTGAAAGCTGCAGTTGCAGATTTATGATACTAGATTTTCATATGAAGATCATCAGCCCTGTGTGAAATACAACCCTTATGTTTACTTTAATTATAATTTATACAAAGTATAATTTCTAAATAGTTAATGAAGAGTGACAGAAATGCAACCACTACTCCATAGGCCTATGCCATGAACATATTTTGGTACACAGACAACATTCATATTCTAACATAATTAGTAAGTTTTGTTTTTCTTTTCCTTTGTCTGGTTTAACTCAGTTTGAAAGGCTAAATATGTTTCAGCTCCTTTACTAAGCTTAGTGTCAGCTCTCAAGAAACAATGGTAACCATAAAAAAGTAATTTCTAATGATGCACATACATGGTCTTAGTTATTATATACTGCTGGCCCTTCCTCTCACATAGGCCACATTTAATCTATTAACAGGAACTGTGAGAATGAATAGGTTATGCTCCAAGGACACAGGTCACATATGTGTTTCCAAATCCACACAAATTGGAATTTCAAATATAATTCTGCAAAGCTCAATCAAAGCCTTTCCAAAAGTTTATTTATGTTATAAACTCCATTAGTTTTCTTTCCTTCCTTCTACCCTGTCAGTGCCAATTTAGTGCCCTGTATGCTAAGGGCTGTTTCCACTTTCTTTTCTCATAGTTAAATCTGTGTACTTTCCTCTTCTAGATGCAGGAGTGTGGTTATACAGTGTTGTAACAGAAAGAATAAGGTTCTGGATCCCAAGATGAAGTTAAACAGATGAGTTTATTGCATGCAAGGAACAATAAAGCCGAAGTCTTGTTTCCCACAAGATACAACAAAACCGAAGTATTGTTCAAAGTGCCCGTACAAACTTTAGGCTTATATAGTCCTTCCTTGCTGTTCTGATTCATCATTCGTTATTATGGTAAAGGGGGTAGGTCATGTGTTTGACCAGTTTACAGCTTTTTGGCCAAATGGTCAGGGATTAGTCTTCAGGGGTTCCCTAGCTGTCCTAGCTCGCATCTGGAATCCTTATCAGTTAACCCCCTTCCTCCCATAAACTCCAGCCTTAGAAGTCTAATCTTCATGCAGAAAGCACTTAAAATTAACCCTGTCTTCACATCTTACTTCATTCCCCCCTTATAAAATATGGCATATGTCAGTACTGCCTATTTTTTACACATACAATGTCAGGGTGATTTTTCCTTTCTAGATGTACAGGCATGCATTGCCATGACATTGTGCATTCCACGGTTACAACAAGATGTGATTGATGTTTTCGTACAAGTGATAGTTACATTTATACACATAAAACAATTGAAAACTGCTAGTTATTATCTTGATTCACTGTACCCATTTAACCTAGAGCAGGGTGGAAGAGTATTTATTCTATTCGTATACTGTAATTAATGTGTCTCAATACGTTTTGTTTACTACTGTATCCAACAAGAACATTTTTGTGATGGTTTTTCACCACAGAAAGCTGTAATAAATAAGAAATAGTGTAACTGGAGATCATGAGTACCTCCAACTACTTATTTAAAAATGCTATGGGTTTTACTCGATCTGCAGAAAAAAATAATGATGGAGATGAAGCCTGCAACTTCTTGTTAAAATATCATGAGAACTCAGAGCTAATTAGATAATCCAGTTAAAGAAAACAATCATGAAGAGCAAGCACAAATAAATATGGGTATGAGAAGGACAAATATGAAGACTTATAAAATCACATTGCAATGGAGGCATTTTATTGTTTTGTAATTTATCACTTACAGTATATTATTTATTTGTTTTGTCAGTATTATAACAAGCAGCAAATAAAAAGTAAAGGGTGACATAAAATGTTTCAGTGATAAAATGGGAAACTGTTAGACAATGATAGCAAAATGATTGATTTATCAGATGAACACTTCTTTCAAGTGTTTACAAAAAACTACAATATGCTTCAGCAAATGCAAAGTTCTATATTAAACAGTTTTAACCCAAAAGTGGTATAGGTGTTACAGGTAAAGTACTAGAAGCACTGAAGACAAAAAAATCTTAAGGGGTTCGTGGTATTACAGTAGATCACTTACATTCATATGTTATTCATAAGCTATTAACAAAACACTTCCAACACTCAATCAAGGCAATGGTAAGAGCAATTAACTGGAAAATAGCTAATTTAGTGTCTATTCATAGGTAACCAAACTAAACCACATAATTATAGACCCATACATCCTACTGCTGTTAAATG